GGAAGAGATATAGTTGGAAAAAGTTCTTAGAGGATAAGTGACCGGACAGAGAGTTGGAAGTTTTTTGAGACTGGGGTAAAATGAGAGGACTGCCACCAGGGCCTTAAGCAAGATTGCGTGATGGAAAAATTTGACTGGTAAAATTTCACTTATCTTCTGGACATGCCTTATTGATCTTATTCTTTTATTCCCAGAACTTCCCCTCAATCCCCCATTACCAAGTCCTTTAGTTGTTTAAAATTTACCACTTTAATCACTAGTAATCTCCTCCTATTATCCGTTCTCAATTATAACTACTCTTCCCTATTTTATCAGACTCCTATTTCTCAGGTTTGTTTATCTCAGCCATGCAGTAAGCAATTGAAATTAAGATGGTAATAACTGGTAGAATTAATCTGCCAGGAAAATATTTCATTATAGAAGAGGAAACGACCAGTCCAAATAAGACTCTAATTTATAGACTGTGTCCATGGGAGATTTTGTGTGTAAAAACCTTTCTGTGCAGGGCACCTGGGTGGCTCAGGCAGTTAAGCACCTGCCTTCAGCTCAGGTCATGATCCCAGGTCTTGGGATCAAGTCCTGCATTGGGCTCCCTGCCTCTCTCTCTGTCTCTCATGAATAAATAAATAAAATCTTAAAAAAAAAAAACCCAAAACCTTTCTGTGCATCTTTCCTAATCTCATTTGGTTGATCTATCCCTCTGAGTTATGTCCTACTCAGACAGTTTTCCAAAGAAATTAAAATACATGAAATTGACATTGTTATGAAGCAAAACAGTTCATATGCAAAACAGTCAGCCATGCCTGACTCTTCTTTACATTTTCAGGAAGCTCCACACTTTTTTTCTCACAGAAGTTGGCAGCCTTGGCAGCACTATTGGTAAGAGAGAAGGAAAGCATTTGAGACTTTTTGTTCCTCTTCTAAGATATGGGTTGAGTTGACATACAATTACCCAAACTTATTTTGTGAATAAAGATTACTTTCTGTCAAGGTTTTAGTCAAAAATAGAGAGCAGAAGCTATTTAGAAGGGTCTTCCCACTGTACACTACTTTGTTTAAAGTTTTAAAATTTGAGCATTTGACATTTCCTTTTTTCTCAAATAGAATCCTGAAGGGAATCTGATAATTTTTATTATAGACACCTGGGTTATAATATTTCTTCCAAAAATAATCTCATAATAATCTTACATGACTTTTTAAAAATTTTCAACTATCCAATTTTGGCAAATTATAAAGCTCTTCTGAGCCTTAGTTTCTTTATCTTTAAGGTAGGGGAAAGGAGATGAAATGTGAGGATGAATGCAAATTATTTGATATTTAGCAAATATCTAGCTATTATATTTAAGAACTGGTAATAGTGATATTATAATTTTTCATTAAGAAGCTTGCATTAAAAAAGAATTGTGCCATGCTCTGTGAGTGTATTTATTTATTTATTATTTTATTTTATTTTTTTAAATTTATTTTATTTTTTAAAGATTTTATTTATTCATTTGAGACACAGAGATACAGAGAGAGAGAGAGAAAGCATGAGCAGGGAGAGAGGCAGAGGGAGAGGGAGAAGCAGGCTCCTCGCTGAGCCAGGAGCCCGATGTGGGGCTCGATCCCAGGACCCTGGGATCATGACCTGAGCTGAAGGCAGATGCCCAACCATCTGAGCCACCCAGGCACCCACTGTGAGTGTATTTAATTACTGGATGAAAAATGCTTTTGGAAAAGTACTCTGGAGAAATGCATTATAATTATAAAAAAAAGTATATAATAGTTTGAAGATTTAAAGAAAAAATTAAAATATTAATATTAAATATTATTGAAATTTCACATTCCATAAGGATGTAGAATTATTAAGTATTTTATTATCCTCAATTTGTTAGCATAAATATTCCACAATTTCAGAAATCTCTGTATGCCGTAAATTTAGAGATTCATTGAGGACTTAATGAAATCATAGGACAATTATGGAATAGAGAGTTGCAGAATAGTCAAAAAAGAGACAAAAAAGGGGAAAGAGGAGGAAGAAGACAAATGAAGGGGGAGAAAAAATTAGGTATGCTTTATAGGCTATGATTTGAAGAACTTGTTTCATTATTAAGAAATTCAAATATCAAAAGCACTTTAAAGTATTTACATAAGTTTATCTTTTAAGTATGAATTTTAGATATTGCAATCATAAATTGAGATATGTTATAATCAATTCCTGATTAATGAGTAGCAAAATATTTTATCTTAGAATAATAAAAATGTTAGAAAGGAACTTAGATATATAATCCATTATGAGACCATTGCTTTCCAAAGCATTGACTTCGCTTGCATTGTTTGATTTTTTTCTCAGTATGAACTTTCAGTGCCTTTTCTTTGAAGAAATCAGAGTTTAGAAAGGCATAATAGGAAAGAAAATAATCACTTAACCTTCAAATCAGACATAACTATCATTTGCATCTTGGTATTTATTATTTCAAAGTATTTTTATTATGTACATACATTTACAAATGCATAAATATCTTTTTAAATAGATAACTGGAATGATACAATTTACATATTTTAGGACCTTTTAAAACAAAATAATATAATATAGATGTATAAAAACACAGAACTACATCAACATTTTTTATAGTTGACTATTGCTCAATGCAAGTATACATATTTACTTAGCTTATCCACCCTGCTTGGATATTAGGTTAATTTTCCTGATGTAAATTTTTTTTCCATGAAAATCCATAAATTTTATCTTGCTAGTCTTATACCCTTAAGATAAATTCTTGGAAGTGGAATTTTTGGGGTACAGGGTGAGTCTAATTTAATACCTATGTCTACACCATTATCCATCAATATCTTTTTTCTGAGTCTATACCTGAATCTGAAACTACATCAATATAATTAAATAGTACTTCAGAAAAATCATAACAATCATATATCCATCAATATTATGTGACAGAGCAGTGGGTATTTCCCTTTTGACATAATCATTTTTTCTGCTCCGAAATTTTAAATGTTTGTGACATCTCATCTATCTTTGTTTACCTTTATGGTTTCTGCCTTGGTATCATGCCTAGAAAAACCTCCCCTTGCTTGACTGAAATATAATTCTTCTATTTTCTTTGCATGAAGTAAAACATTTTACATGGCTTCTCTAACTTCTTAACAATTTAGCAAATGTCCCAGAAACTGCTAGGCAAAGACGGAAACTGTGCTCTCTTTTCTTAGTAGGCTGGCTGGGGGAACTCCAGTTAGAATGTTTGAGTTAAATTGATGTAATATTTACCTATATATTTATAATATATTAAGATGGTAAGAATACTTCAACTGAATAATATATTTAAGTGGGGGTATCTTAAATGGTTTCCCCCACCATAGTCTCTATACTTAATTGTCATTTTGGATTTTGTGAGGATGGAGGAAGGGAAGCTAATGGTAGTTATGGACAAAGAGTAACAACAGTAGAAGAGTAGCACTGGTAATAAAAAGTACATAGAAGAAAGGAAATATTCAAGAAAAAATTGGTTTCATTTAAAAAGATATAAAATAGTATATTATCATCCCAATCACTGATTTTTACCAGTTTAATTTTTATATGCTATGGTTGTTCAGATAACTCATAATTTTTCAATACCTTGACTTGAATCCAGAATCTCTCTCTCTGTCTGCCTCCCACCCCACTCTTTTTTCTCTAATGCTGAATATGTGGATTTCTAAAAATTGTGGCTAAATGTTTTTATTTCCTTGTGGCTTGGAAAATTAATAATAGTTTAAGTTTCAAAGTCCTCTTTTGCAGAACAACAAATTAAAAGCTTAAGAAAAAAATCAATATTTATGTTTCTTATCCTGACAAAACAGAAAAGAAAAACCATAAGGTGCATGACCCATTCTAGCTAGAAATAAAAATTACCAAAATGTCTTATTTACAAAGTCCCAAGTTGAAAGGTTAATATTAGTCACAACTAATGACACTTCTTCAGAAAGGAATAATGTTAACAGCATGGCCCTTAAGCAAAAGATCCTAGAAATAAAAAAAAAAAAATAATGGTTACAAGACCCGGTTCTAAAAGATTTTCTTCTTTCTTTTCTCTCCCTTTGGCAATGGTCTTTACAGATTATAAAAAATAGCTTCTCAGAAGATGGAAGCAAAGTTCAAATGACCCAAACAAAACTTTAGTGGATGACTGACATTAAATGTAGTGTTTCAATGATTTATTTGTTCATTCAACAAATATCTACTGACTGTATATACTATGCCAAACTCATCCTAGGGACTTCGCTTATATCACAGAAAAGCACACTGAACAGATAAAGCATCGTAAGTTTCTCAGCATAAGTTTTCATGGTCTATAAATAGGTTTTTTTTTTGTCTTCTTCAGATATTATTACATTTCCTTCTTTAACCCCAAGCTAATACAAATATTTAGATTTATCATGAATTCCCATTTTCCTTGTTATGTGCTCAGTATTATGATCTGCAGATGAACTGAGAGGTTATCAGAAATTATATTTTAAAGTATATTTTCTTTTATGATTTTAACCTATCTTCAAAAATGTCTTAGCAGCTAGCTAAGGATGGAATTCTGTTTATCGGTGTGTGAATTCAGAGATGACAAACATGAAATATTTTTCCGTATCATACTTAGAGCATGCCATTCATTGTTTAGCAGTTAAGAAAAGACACAAGAAAGAAGCCAGTCAGGCAATATACACATCTTTAGGGACAAGATAGAGTCTAAAGTATCATAAATAAGAAAGGGTATGCTTAAAATAGAATCTAACATTTAATGTGATAGAGAGAAATGGCTCCAGAAATAAATAACAAGATCAGAATTCATATTTACATGGTTGGTTAGGAGACAAAAGCAAGAAATTAAGTAGCAAACAGGGTTGGGTAGTCATTATCAATTAGGTTAAAGGCAACATCAAAAGACAGGAATAAAGATGGCCTTAGGATTTCTGAGGTCAGAAGAAACATGATGAGTTGTGGGGTTTGTGTGTATCAGACCATTAAGCCCTCTTACCTTTATATTATCAGAGCACAGATTTCAATGTAGAACACCTTTAAGTGGAAGGACCACGTCCATTCACCCTTATGTCATTAAGAATGATGTCTGAAAAAAAAAAAAAAAAGAATGATGTCTGAAAGCAAGAATGTGCTTTCCAATAGGGTGAATGACTCAGCAGAGGCTCAATATTCTCAAGAGAGATGAGTTAGGTCAGATGGAAAATTTTTTCCTGTGTTTATTGGTTTGACTTTATCACTCTCCATTTATCACCCTTTCCCCATCTGATGTGGTCATAGGTACTATCAATGGAAGCTCTGATCTAAAACAAACTGCAAAAGAAATAAAAATCACCAAAATGTCTTATTTTCAAAGTCCCAAGTTGACAGGTTAATATTAGTCACAATTAATGACACTTCTTCAGAAAAGAATATGTTAGCAGCATGGCCCTTAAGCAAAATTTCGATCCTAGAAATTTTAAACAAAAAATTTAATAGCTTTGATTATGTCTTTGATATTATTTTAAATATGCATGACTTCAGGTTTCACTACCTCTACTAAGAGTTCATAACCTCTCCACACATAGACCAAGCTTTCAAATGAGTGTTTTGGAAGAGAAAGAATTGAAGCAGTAAAATGGAGGGGAATTTCCTATAGAGGAACTTTCTTCCTTGCCACTATTAAGATAGAATGTTAACAAAAAAAGTTCAGGGAAAATGAAGTTTTTGGAAAATAAGGAACAAAAAAGTGTATAGACTTTTAATCTTATAGCCATTTTTGGCACATAGTGTAAAAGTATTTAAAATTCTTATATATCAATTAATTATATTTGATAATCATATATCAAATAGAAATAACTGATAGAAAATTCCATAGCCATTGCAAGATCATAGAAAAAATGAAAACCTGTTTAAAAGCACTGTGCTCAGGGCGCCTGGGTGGCTCAGTCGTTAAGCGTCTGCCTTCGGCTCAGGTCATGGTCCCAGGGTCCTGGGACCGAGCCCCCGATCCGGCTCCCTGCTCCGCGGGAAGCCTGCTTCTCCCTCTCCCACTCCCCCTGCTTGTGTTCCCTCTCTCACTGTCTCTCCCTCTGTCAAATAAATAAAATCTTTAAAAAAAAATAAAATAAAAAAATAAAAGCACTGTGCTCTTAAAGATATAGGAGTTCTAAGAAATTAGAAAAATTGGGCAATTAATAATCTCAAAAAAGATTAAGGACCAACTGAAAATAAATGTTTATAATGCTGTCAAACATGTTTTCTTTTCTTCTTGCCTTACTAGATTAAAACTTCTTGAGGGAAGGGCTCTGTCTTCTTGTTTACCACTGTATTCCTCTGAATTAGCCCAATGCCTGGTTCATAGTAGGTATGCAATTAATACTTATTAAATTAATGAAAATGTAAAGGAATAAGTGGAAGTTTTTAAAAACATTTGAATTGGTAATAATAGCTTTTCATTCTAAATTGCAAAATGGGGATGAAAATACTTTTCATGGCAAAGCCATTTTCTCACTGAATAGTATATTAAATCCTTGATTTATTTGTTGAAGTTATCATTAGTTGATGAAAATTAATTATTTGAAAAAAGAAACCTACATTTATCAGATTTTCTCTTGGTTTGAGGGTATGGATTTCTGTAAAGATTTTTTTGCATGTATTTCCTTAATTTATTATCAATTAGATATTAATAAAAAAGTCACCATTATCAAAAACACAATAAAAACTTATATTGTTACAGGATAGTTGTATAATTAAAGTATATTTCAATGAGATAAAGTCTCAAAAGTGGTTTTAGATCAATGCCTTTGAAATTTAACCTCACAATTCCCTAGACTTCATCCACTGTGTTTAAGTAGTTCTTAAGTCTTTGAGATAACATAAAATAACTGGTTGATTTTTACATTAAAATATGTAAACATATATATATGTATAATATAAATTTATAGTCTTCAGTTGGGTTGTTAATTCATGATAGCAACTAACACTGTAAATATCTTTTAATTTATCTAGGATCTAGATGATATGTCTAGAAAAGGAAAATCTAAGAAACCCTTTCTGTAAGTAATTATTAAATAATAAAACATATTGCCATTTAAACATTTGATCAAATCTATAAAAATACATTTCTCAAAATAATCCAATTTTTTTCTAGTGTTGTAAGAGGCAGTTAGTATATTATTACCAACATGTGCCTTCATAAAATCAGCTTAGATATTTATAGCAAAAGCCAAACATAGATTGACTCAATCTTCTTATGACACATCCAACAGAAAGAAACACAAGGGAAACTATCAAGTGTATTAAGTATGACATGCAAGACCACCTAAGACCCACCTATTCTCTTATGCTATGTGAAACAGATACTAATCTTAGGTCATTAGTAACTTGTGCACTGTGCTTTCCACAAAAGCCTGACTCACATACCTCTTTCTGGAGGTATAAGCATGTGTGAAAATGTCGTCATCTAATTGCTTTCCTTTGCATAATATAGATGATAGCCTTCAATAATGTGACTGATTTTCTACTATTAAGCTCAGCCCATTTGCTTTAATTTCTTTATTCATGGAATGGAAACTTGACATTCAAAATCTTTAGTTATTTGCCAATCAGGGGAGAAAAGAAATTATGTCAAATCCAGAAGAACTTGAGTTATGAGACATGAAAACTTATAATAAGAAAACAAGCAGTCCAGGCATTCTGGCTCTGTCATCCAGCTCTCAGTGCTTCCTACCATGCCCTGCATTAGCAAAAGCATCTTTATAGGTGGGATAAAATTGCATAGAACTACACATACATGCACACACACATGGAAATGAGTGCATGTAAAAAATGGTGAAACTGAGTAACATCTATAGTCTAGTTAACAGTATTATACCAATGTCAATTTCCTGGTCTCAATACTGTTCTACAGTTCCATAAAGGCACCACTGGGAGAATCTGGGTGAAAGGCATACCAGACTGTGTACTATTTTCTCAAGTTTCTCTGAAAGTGCAATTATTTCAAAATAAAAAAATTTTTAAAAGGCCATCTAAAGAGGGAGGGAGCCTGGGGTGCCTGGCTGGCTCAGTTGGAAGAGCTTAGGACTCTTGATCTCAGGGTCATGAGTTCAAGCCCCAAGCTGGGTGAAGAAAGAAAGAAAGAAAGGAAGAAAGGAAGAAAGGAAGAAAGGAAGAAAGGAAGAAAGAAAGACAGAAAGAAAGAAAGAAAGAAAGAAAGAAAGACAGAAAGAAAGAAAGAAAGAAAGAAAGAAAGAAAGAAAGAAAGAAAAAGAAGAAAGAAAGAAAGAAAGAAAGAAAGAAAGAAAGGAAGGAAGGAAGGAAGGAAGGAAGAAAGAAAAAAGAAGGAGACAGAAAGAAAAAGGGAGGGAGCCTATATGATGACAATGGCCCTAGATAAAAAGTCAGAAACAGATACAACCTTGAGCAAGTCACTTTACCTCAGGTGTATGTTTCATTCTTTGTAAAAATGTGGTGAATGCCACACTACTAAAAGAAAGGATAAGAATCATATGATTCTCTCAATAGATGCAGAAAAAGCATTTAACAAAATGCAGCATCTATTCTTGATAAAAACCCCCAACAAAGTAGGTATAGATATACCTCAATATACCTCAATATCATAAGGGCCATATAGGAAAGACCCACAGCTAATAACATCCTCAGTGGGGAAAAACAGAGCTTTCCTCTAAGGTCAGGAACAAAACAGGGATGTTCACTCTCACCATTACTTTTAAACACAGTACTGGAAGTCTTAGCCTCAGCAATCAGACAACAAAAAGAAATAAAAGGCATCCAAATCGGCAGGGAAGTCAAACTCTCATTATTTGCAGATGACAAGATACTCTATGTAAAAAAACCTGAAAGACTCCACCAAAAAATTGCTAGAACTAACACATGAATTCAGCAAAGTTGTAGGATATAAAATCAATGTAGAGAAATCTGTTGCATTGCTATACACCAATAATGAAGCAACAGAAAACGTAAGCAAGGAATCGATCCCATTTACAATTGCACCAAAAACTGTAAGATACCTAGGAATAAACTTAACCAAAGAGGTAAAAGATCCGTACTCTGAAAACTATAGAACAGTTATGAAAGAGATCGAAGAGGATACAAAGAAATGGAAAAACATTCCATGTTCATGGACTGGAAGAATAAACATTGTTAAAGTGTCTATACTACTCAAAGCAATCTACACTTTTAGTGCAATCCCTATCAAAATACCACCAGCATTTTTCATAGAGCTAGAACAATCCTAAAAGTTTTATGGAGCCACAAAAGACCCTGAATACCAAAGCAACCTTGAAAAAGAAAAGCAAAGTTGGAGGCATCACAATTCCAGACTTCAAGCTATATTACAAAACTGTAATGATCAAGACAGTATGGTACTGGCACAAAAATAGGCATATAGATCAATGGTACAGAATAGAAAATCTAGAAATGAACCTAAAACTATATGGTCAACTAATCTTGGACAAAGCAGGAAAGAATATCCAATGGAGATAAGACAGTCACTTCAAAAAGTGGTGTTAGGAAAACTGGACAGCAACACGCAGAAGAATGAAAATGGATCACTTTCCTACACCATACACAAAAATAAATTCAAAATGGATGAAAGACCTAAATGTGAGACAGGAAACCAACAAAAATCCTAGAGGAGAACACAGGCAGAAACCTTTTTGTCGTTGGCTATAGCAACTTGTTACTAGACACACTGCCAGAGGCAAGGGAAAAACAAAAGCAAAAATGAACTATTGGAACTTCATCAAGATAAAAACTTCTGCACAGTGAAGGAAACAATCAATAAAACTAAAAGGCAGCCAATGGAATGGAAGAAGATACTTGCAAATGACCTATCTGACAAAGGGTTGGTATCCCAAATCTATAAAGAATCAAACTCAACACCCAGGAAAACAAATAATCCAGTTAAGAAATGGGCAGAAGACATGAATAGACATTTTTCCAAAGAAGACATCCAGATGACCAACAGACACATGAAAAGATGCTCAACATCACTCTTCATCAGGGAAATACAAATCAAAACCATAATGAGATATCACCTCACACCTGTCAAAATGGCTAAGATTAACACAAGAAACAACAGG